TTTGTAAATTCTGTACACTTAATTAAGTTATTGTTAATTGTTTATTAGTTTAATGTAAGTGGCTATTGTTCGGGACGAACAATACTAAGGAAGGGGCAGTGTTACGACAGTGGGGGTCACGTGACGAGTATTCTAGAAGATTCGCTAGTGCGTTACGACAGCGGGAGTCATGTGACGCTGGTAGCATGTGTTGAGAGTCTTAGAAGTTTCTAGAACAGGCAGTATTATCATATATAAGTATGCTAGACAGTGAGAGAGACAGAGGGAGGCAGAGACGTAGCGGAGACGAAGCAGGCAGAGAGAAAGAAAAACAGCGATTACACGACACTACATTTTATTTACTACTGTCTCTTTCTGGGTGATCCTGGTGCCCAAAAGTTTTCTATATTCCTTTGATTTCCAATACCATCAAATACAAGGGATGTCCCTCTCTTGGAAATACCCAATCTGAGCACATCTTTATGAAGTGAGTGTATGAATATTTTGCAGCAGAAAGAGCTGTTACATGCACTTCCCAAAAGCAATCAATTTTCAGTGGCATCACACTACCTATGAAATGCCAACAATGTCAAATGTAGTTCAGAAATATGCCATTCCACTGTTGCTTTATATTGGCAGTGGTTGTCACATGGCTGGCTGAGTTGCATTTTAAAAATGGTATTAATATAACAAATTGAACCCTCTGTAAACTTATAAAAACAATTAAATAAAACATTTTGTCAGAACTTCACCAAGAATGAATATTAAATTTCTATTGAAAGAGTAGTAATGAGTTACAATACAATAAACACGATTTTTTTCCCATACTTTGAAAGCAAAAATTCTGACCCAAATTGATTATAATCTTGAAAATTCTGTACCAAAGGAAAAGTGTGCAATTACAACTCTCAGGCCTGACTTTAGTGGGTAGGTAAGGCAAGCTACTTAGGATAGCAAAATTAAGAACAATTATGATATTGCTTTTATTTAAAATTTATTATTTAAGGATTAGCTTGACACCCTTACTCACCTGAAAACTTTGTAGTCATAAATACAACCATTGTGCAATAATAGCCTAAAACAAGTTTCTACTGAGATGAAACTTAACAAAGCAACCTACTTCACACCTTTACAGCCCAAAAATATGAAGAAATTCAAATTCTAAATCTAAACAATTTAAAGCAACACAGAAGAACATACAGGTTTACAAACTAAGAAATTAATAAAAATTACAACATTTTAGTTATGAAATGTTATTTATGTTAATTAATGGTAATGATGTCAGTGTCAGTGGAGGAAGCAGTTTAGAAAGAGTGATATTTTAAAGCCTTGCCTAACCACAAAGATTTACTTTTTTACATAAATAAAATAAACATGTTTCCACAAACTGTAATTTATATCTTGAAGTCCAATTACTCCAAATAATCAGGAGATCGTTTGGTTTCAATGACATTATTATTTTCTGAGACAAAGTTTTGTTTACTACTGTATGTTCAGTTTGCATTGGAACAGTTTGGTTTGACGTGAAAAACAGAATAAAATATATACAGGGATCCCTCGATTAATGCATTTTCGTTTAGTGCGCATACATTTTTTTATAACCAGTATTCGATTAGTGCAGTAACACACATTTCATTTTAACCATAGTAATTGAAAAGTAAGTTTTAGGCACCGAAATTCAAAATTTTGTTAAAAATTAAAAATAGAAAATGGGTAACTATTTTACTTGTCAAGTTATTACTAGTGTGTCCACCCCTGGGTACTTTAGCAATTTTTTCACCCCTTGCCCCAGGGTAAAATACTTGAAATACCCCGGGGCAAATCTTTACTATTTTACTGAACAAATATCTTTTTCATAACAATAATTCGTCGTTGTTTATAGGAAACGCACCATAGATTTGAAATATAAGTCAGTGAAAAAGGGTAAAACCTTTGCTAGGGCTGGTGAAAGGAATTTGGAAAATGATTAAACTCGTAGCCAACGATTTCTTCAGATCTTTCTTCTCTCAAAATGTTTCTCTTTCGTTTTTTTTAATTTTCTTTAATCGCTCTAATTCACATAGATTTGAGCTCACTAAATAATTTTTTTATTATAATGCTTTAAACTTAATAAAAAGGACGTCTTATAGGGGTATTTTGAAAGTGACGTATGAGTATTCGATTAGACTTAAATTCTGTAACATGTGCTTTTTATACTGTGAGATTTTCCAGATCTGTTTACTTTTTCGACACGCTTGAACAAAAAAGTGATAAAACTTTGTCAGCCTTGTTATT